TAGTCCTTTTACTTTTAGCTATTTTAATAGGTATATAGTGGCATCTCAATGGAGTTTTAATTTGCATTTCATTATATGGAACATGTTTTCATGTGCTTATTTTCCACAAATGCCCAGATTTCCTGCATGTTTTGGGCTGTTGGTATTTTTCAAACATTTACTATTTGTATTTTTAAAATATCCTTAAATTTTACAGCAAGACTCCTGTCTGCCTTTATTCATTTGTGCTGGATTTTCAGGGCCTTCATTTATAAAGAACCATTCTTTCATCATTTGTTTTCTTGTTTTTTTGGTACTGAGGATTGAACATAGGGCCTTGTGCATGCTAGGCAAGCACTCTTAACTCTGAGTTATATCTCTAGCCTCGCATCATTTCTTTGATAATGTTTTCTGTTCTCAATGTTCACAGACTTTCTTTTTTTTTTCTGTTTCCTTTTTCAGTATACTGGACATTGAACCCAGGGAATGCTGAGCTACATCCCCAGGCTTTTAATTTTATTTTGAGACAAGGTCTTGCTAAATAACTAACTTGCCTAGACTGGGCTAGAACTCCTTCCTCAGCCTCTTGAGTAGATGAGGTTACAGATTTTCACCACCATGCCCAATACAAATTTAATTTTAGACCACTTTTATTAGGACTTTAGTTTTTATTGTGTCATATTTTCTCTTTCAGCTTTCTGGAAGATTTGTTTAACTTGCTTCTTCATTTTAATAGCTTCCTGATTTCCAAAAGATTTTTAGACACTTATTTAACTTTCACCTCAATGCAAACTTGAAACACATAAAACCCTTCTTTTCTACTTTTTCTTACTTAATGGATTGCTAAAACAAACACAACTTAACTAAGAATTTCTTGTTCAATTTTGATTCCAATATTATGGCAACTTCCATAAAATACTGGAGACTCCTTTTTTGCTCCCCTAGGGAAGGGTTTCCATAGCACTGTACTTGTGTGTTACAAATACACTTACAAGCCCTGACATTCCCCAGCCTTGATGACCTTGATATTTTAAACAAGTGATAGATGATGCATGGAAGGAGGAATCCTTTTTATTTTTGAGACAGGGTCTCACCTTGTTGTCCAGGCTAGCTTCAAATTCTTGGACTCAAGTGGTCTTACCCTCCTGTGTAGCCTGGACTGCAAGTGTGCACCACTGTGCTCAGCGTGGAAGTTTTTCTTTTTCTTTTATCTTCCTTTTCTCTTCCCTTCTCCTACCCCTTTTTTCATTTTCCTTCTTCCTCTTCTTTCTTCTCTTCCTATTCTGCTTCTGCTTCCTTCTTCTTCTTTTTATAATGAGGGTTGAACTCAGGGCTTAGTTGGGGGAGATGGCTGAATCTAGAGTATGTGACTGATTAGTAGTGCAGTCCTGGGGCACTGAGCTACGTCCCCAGTCCCCCCCTTTTTTTTGAGACAAGTTCTATTAAGTCTTTCTCTTAGTTACTTTTCTTTCTTTTTTTCCCTGTATTTTAGGGAAAGGTCTACAGGGTGTTCAGGGTCTCACTACTAGATTGGACCCATAGTGATTCTCCTGTTTACAGCCTCCCAAGAGGTGGGATTACAGGTGTGCGCCACCATGCCCAGTCTTAATTGCCATCTCAGCATGCCCTAGGGGCTAGGCTGGCATGACAGGCCCGGCGATTGAACCCCAGGCCTCTGTGCCTGCTTGCAGGCACTTTAATCCGCTGAGCTATTTTTTGCCAGTCAAGCGCTTATCCTACTGAGCCATCTCCACGGCCCATCTGCTGAGCTATTTGGCCGGTCCTTTAGTTACTTTTCTTGTTGCTGAGACAAAATACCAAACACCTGAAGTTAAAAAAAGGAAAGGTTTACTTGGCTCACAGTTTGTGGAGGTACCATAATGGGCTGGTTCCAAGGCAGAGTTATACATGGCAGAGAGGCAACAGTTCGTAGTGGTAGAAGACAGCAAAAGCAACAAGAGAGCAATTTAAGCCTCTTTCTGTCCCTTGTTATTGTATCTAGTCTATTGGAATTAGGGTGGTACCAGTCCAATCAGTGGACAGGTCTAGTAATCACCCACCCTTAATCCCAGCACCCTTAACCCCAGGACTGCACTACTAATCAGTCACATACTCTAGATTCAGCCATCTCCCCCAAACACCCCTGTGACTGCATGAGGTTTTGGGGGGATATCTAGATATCAACTGTAACAGCCACTAAGTTACCCAGGTTGGGCTTGAATTTATGGTACTCCTGGCTCAGCCTCCCCAGGATTATAGGAATGTGCCACCACACCTAGGAATTCTTAAATTATATCATTTTTGATTTGAGTACTTTTGTTCAGCTAAGCTCAATTTTGGGCAAGGTGAAAGCCAGGGTAACTGGCTGATTACTTTTATTCTCCCCATGTTACCTGATGACTGTTTTTGTTTCTGAAATTTGGGTGAAGAGGCACTAAGAAGAAAGGAAAGGTGAGTAATAGAAAGCAGGGAGGTGCCGAGGAGATGGCTCAGTAGCATAAGCGCTTCCTTGGCAAGTGCAAGTGCAAGGGCCTGAGTTCATTCCCCAGTTCTGCCAAAAAAAAAAAAAAAAGCAGGGGTTTTTCCTTTCCTTACAGAAAAAGACTCATGGAATCTGACCCGTTTATTTTTATTTTATTTTTTATTAGTACATGTTTGTAGTATATATAATGGTTACCCTTATCCTGGGGAGTTGGTACGTGTACATAACACATCTTAATTCTTTTTTATCTCCTTCTCTCCCTCCCCACTCCATCTGTGCTCTGCTCCATTTAGATCTGATCGAGTTTAACTATGTAAAGATGTTGGAAATATCCTTTTCTTGCTCAGGATTCGGATCAGTAACCTTGGGGCTGTGTGGCTGAGACAGAAGCCATGTTGAAGATCAGTGTCAGCTACCCACCCATTTGGGAAAAAGCTATTTATCTAGGTTGTTGATGTCACTGTCCTAGATAAGGCACATAGTTGCAGAAACTGGTCAATGTCATAGGGAATGAATGCTGAAGTAGGACCAGTGAGCCCCTCCTCCCCATATCTAGAGGGCATCATGAGACCGAAACCCCTATGGTGAATTCCAAAGACAGATTCCAGCACCAGCAGGGTGCTTGGAGCAGGAGTTTCAGATCAGCGAGGGCTACAGACCTCTGGAATCACAGGACTAGTGGGACAAGTGTCAATAGCAGTTGTGTGTAAAGAGATCTCCCCTCTTCATTACAGCAATCTAGTTTGGTGCACTGGCAGCAGCCATTGATTAGTTTTTTCTTTAAATTAAAACTGGTAAAATAGAATATTTACCATTTGAACCATTTTTAGGTGCACTGTCCAGTGGCATTACAGTTACATTGCTGTACAATGCCTACCACAATCGGTCCCCTGAACTTTTCATCTCACAAAACTGAAATTCTATGCCTACTAAACGATAACTCCTCACTCACCCCTCTCACTCTTTCACTTCTCATATTGGTAATTTATGTCTCCTTATTGTTGTTTTTTGTTCATGTTTTTGCTCTGTCTGGATAATTTGGTCAATGTTTTTCATCTTTTCAAAGAACTAGCTTTTGGTTTCATTGTTTTTTTTTTTTTTTTTTCCAGAACCGGGGATTGAACTCAGGCCCTTGTGCTTGCCAGGCAAGGGCTTATTCTACTGAGCTATCTCCCCAGCGCTGGTTTCATTGGGAGTGATTCTCCTGTTTACAGCCTTCCAAGTGCTGAGATTACAGGTGCACAGGACACCACGCCCAGTCTCAGCGGTACCCTGGGGGCGGGGCCGGCACAGCAGGCCTGGGAATTGAACCTCAGGCCCCTGTGCCTGCCTGCAGGTGCTTTATTCCACTGAGCTATTTGGCCTGCCCTTCATTGATTTTTTTCTATTGTTATTCTATTTTAATTTTTAAAATTTCTTTCTTTCATCATTTCTTCATATCTTTTAGGTTAAATTTGCTGACTTTTTCTAATTTTGTAAATGGATGCTTCGATTTGATGTGAAGTAGTCTTTTCTAATGGAAGTATTTTGTACTGTAAATAAGCATTTTATGGTTTTCCTTTAAGCCCTCCTTTACCTGTGTGCCCTAAACTTTGATATATTTGTAGTATCATTTAATTAAAAATATATTCTAATTTGCTTTGTGCCTTACTCTTTGACTCATATCTTATTTAGAAATGTGTTTAATTTCCAAACATTTGGAACTTTTCATTGATTTGTAGTAAAGTTCCATAACAGTCTGATAATAATAGTGCATTATTTCCATTCTTTTAAAATTTGTTAGGAGTTTTTGTTATGCTCCAGAATGTCGTCTTATGGACACTGACACTCCTTTCTCTCTTTCCCACTTATTATGATCCTTATGATTAAACTGGGCCCACCTGAATAATCAAAGATCATCCCAAGACAGTTAATTTAATCGAGTTTGCAAAGTCTTTTTGACACAGGTTCAGGGAATTAGGACATGGATGTCTTTTCTATCTGCGTAATCTGCCTGGGTCAGTCTTACTGGGGTCGTGAGTGTGGAAAAGTGGGGAGATGTAGATGGCAGGGTCCACTGGAGCACGTGAGGATTCCCAAAGAAGGAACACTTCTTAGGCTTTTTTGCATCCTTGGGTACACCACTAGGGGGCCTACGTGAGATGACAGGATGGAAACAGCCACTTTACACAGCTGTAGGAGGCACAGACCAACAAGAGCCTCTGGAAGGTGCCGCTAGGAGGGTGTGGGGTCTATTTCGGAACAAACCATTGTATGGGTAGAAGGGACATTAAAGGCTACTTCCACCCTGTGCAGGAGATTTCAGCAGAGGCCCCGGATGGAGGCAGGAATGGTACTACTGTGGCCTGGCACCTATCCATTTTCTCGGTTCCCGGCCTCCAGTTGTCCTACTCGCAGATTCTTGGCCTGCACCCTTTTTGGTTCTCTGACTTGGAAACAGTGGTTTGAGCCTGCAGGGATAGGCAATTGGATCCAGGGAGAGCGGCGCTGGTGCGTTCTAGAATCTGATTGGTTAACGCGCACTTTCCTCTCTTTTAAGGTTTACCGGCAAACAGAAAGGGTGTAACCAAACTCCACAACGCGCGCGTCGGGCTCCAATTGGCTATGCGTGCAGCGCAGGCGCATTGGTTCCTTGGCTAGACTTCCAGGCTGTAATGGTACGCGTTTCCCCGATGGTAGTTCCCGGTGGAAGGGTCAGATACTCACCTGGTCTGTGCCTCTGTTCGCTAGTCAAAAGTGCTGAATATGGTAACTCTAATAGAATTCACCGAGATCATTGGCTGGGACTCTTGCTCTTTTGTGCTCCTCCTTCAATTCCAAACTCAAGTCACAAGCCTAGCAGGTAATCCTGCCTGCCTCCACTCAGTCATTCTTGAAGTGCATTTGCCCATCCATTCCCACCCCTATTAAAATGGAATCATCAGATTTGGGATTTAGGGAAAGTTGCTTTGTTAACTAGAAATCCTGCCCTAATAGAGAGCTCCTAGCTCCAACACCACAGAGTAGGGCTCACTTAGAACTCAAGTGTCCTGATGCTTGGTACCTTTGTGATTATTCCCCCATGTGAATTTTGTTTTTGTGGTTAATTCCAGAAACACATTAAGGATTTGGAGCCAGGTTTAAAATCTTAAACTGTATTAGTAGCTCAAAATTATATTATAATCTGGTTTTAAAACAAGGCAAATCTATCTAAATTCATAACAAATGCTCTTGTATTTACAGTATATATTTGCAACATTTCCTCTTGTAATGCATAAGAAAGTGGGAAAAGCTACATAGTCAAAAACAAAGTAACTATAAAAATATGCAAGAAAACAGAAAAGCAAAAACTCAAAGTGAATGCAAATATACATAATTTTTTTTGGCAGAACCGGGGATTGAACTCAGGCCCTTGCGCTTGCCAGGCAAGGGCTTATTCTACTGTGCCATCTCCCTGGCCCCCATAATTTTTTTTGAGAGAAAGTATCATTACACAGTTCAGGTTGGCCTGAATGCGCCATGTAGCCTAGGCTTACTTCAAATTTGCAATCCTCCTGCCTCAGACCTGAGTGCTATAGATTTTTAAAATAAAAATATTATAGAATTTATTACTTAATCAAATTGATAACTCACAAGCCTGGCATGGTGGTGCATGAGGCAGGAAGATTGCAAATTTGACCACTTAATAAGGCCCTGGTGAAAAAGAAAAGACAAGACAAGACAAGACAAGACGAGAAAAGAAAAGGATGATTTGCGAAGAGAAGTATTTGTCTGGATAACTTTTGAATACATTTCCCTGGTGCTGTCAGTTTGATCAGCACACAGAGAAAGGGCTCCATGTTCACAGCCTTCATTGTTCAATTTTTATTTTCTTTTTGTCAGGAGTTTTGAAAGCTTATCAGTCTGCTGCATTTAGCTGGTGCCAATTTCTCCAGGACTAAGGGAGAAACCTGGAAATAAAAAGATTTTAAATGATTTCCTTATAAGGAATTGCCACAAAAAAGAGCCAGAACTCCTAAGATGGCTGAGGCAGTCTTACTCTCCTCTGTGGCTTTTGAGAGCCATAACCCAGTATGTTTTCTCAGAATCTCACCCTGAGCTCTTACTGTCTTTCCATATTAAGGCAGCTGTAAGAAGCCATGATTTATTGTTGCTTATAACTTTCTACCTTATTGGCCCATATTATACTCTTTTTCTGTAAAAAGCATATGAATTAGATGATCCACATTGCTATTAAGAACAATTAGAATCCTTGATCAGATTAATGAATCATTTAGCACATGTCCAAGGGAATGGGATCTAGAGGTGTAATGAAGAATGGGTCACTTGTGGTAGACAGGGAAGATTTACTGGGAATTCAAGTGTCTTAGTGCACTTTGTGTTGCTGTAATAAAATGCCCAAGTTTGGGTACTTTATAAAGCAACATGGTTTATTTAGATCCCAGTACTGTACTGGAGATTCAAGAGCATAGCATCAATATCTGCTTCGCTCCAGTGAGGGCCTCATAGTGGATAGCATCACAGTGGTGGGAACATGTATGGAAATGGTGAGGGGTACAAAAAGAAGCGAAATTTAGAGGTGACATTAGGCTCACAGCAATCCATTTGTGTTATTTTGTGCAGTGCTTGGGATGGAACAGAGCCTTGCTTATGGCAGGTAGGTACTCACATCCCCAGCCCTGAAGCCTCATTCTTTTTTTTTCAAAATTTTATTGATAAACAGATAGCAATGAGACAGTTTCAAATCAAATCGGAAGTACAGATTCAACAAATAACACACTGCGTATATTCTTCTTAGTGGTTAATTGTTGTACATGATGCGGACTTGAGATCCTATTTACAAACACCATTAGAACAAATCATTCTATTCATTAAGAGAATGCAACTATATATCTATCCTAACCACTTTGAATACACAGATCCAAAATGGACACTCATCTGTATACCCCATTTTTTCTAAGTTCCGTTATTGAATATAATAGGTGTGTAAACTCAGCAAAATATTCTAAAAGAGTCCAGTAGCCCATAATAGCATTGAGTCTTCTGTTTAACTGGCAATGTCAGAAATTATTGACCTGAGTCCCCCACAGCTCAACATAACAACATGGCTTTACTTCCTATATTTCGTCTTCATACTTTTCTACTGGATGGTTAAGAACAAGGTAAAGCAGGACCTGTGCAACAAGAGTTGTAGCTTTTGGGTCTGAGAAGGTCAGTGAAATGCCCTCAAGATTTATCCTGAGATCCTGTACCTCAGATTGTAGAAACTTTGTCAGTGCAGCCATGTGGATGAGTCACGGCCATTGCTTGGCCAATGTGCTCTCTGTGAAAGCCTGAGAGAGTGTCTTCTCCCCCTGTGACTCTCCTTAGGCACACTCTACGTCATCGATCACTTTCCTCTTTGGCCCCATAATCTTCTTGATCAGAAAATTTGGGACACTACCGAGTTACATGACGTTACAGTACAAGTTCTCGTATGTCCTGAGTCTTAATTGACCTTAGAAGGTTAGGGCCAAAATGTTGGCATTCCTTGCAGCCCTCCTTTTTCTCTAATTTTGGTCTGCAAACTTAGGTTGTTAACCATCCAGAAGACACCTAAAGCCTCATTCTTGTGGGGGCTCATCTGTTCCCATGAGACCTGAGCTGTCCCCAGAGGTCACTGTGAGGGCGGTTCCTTCATGAGTTATTCTCAGGGTCCTCCCTCTTAAAGGTTCCACTACTTCAACACTACCACCTCAGGTACCAAGATTCTAATACATGGTACTTGGAGGACAAACCATAGCCAAACTATAGTGCCAGATCACAGTGAAGTTCATGAGAATGGTAAGGAGGTACGTGCATAGTGAGTGCTGGCAGTTCTGAAAAGCCTGAAGTAACACAGTAGTTTACAAAGTTATTGAAAACATTCTCATCTTTTTATAATCTTTAGTATAGCTTTTTTCTCTTTGAGAGCCTCCACCTGTTCCTAAGCAAAAGTGCCCACAGAAAAACAGTTCTACTAAGATAAGAATTAAGATGTCAGTTCACCTCATATATAGCTTGTCTTCATTGCTTCCCTCATGGCTCAGATATAATAATTGACACCCACAATTTTTTTTTGAGACAACATCTTGTTGTGTAGCTCAGGCTGGACTTGAACCCACTGTTTATCCTGGGCTGGCTTTGAACTTTCAGCAGTCCTCCTGCCTCAAATTCCCAAGTGCTGGGATTACAGGCATGTACTATCATGCCCACCACACACCCACCATTTAAAGGAGGAAAGTTTCATTTTGACTCATATTTGATAGGGGTTCCAGTCCATAATTGGCTGGCTCCAAGGCAGAAATGCACAGCAGAGGGGCAAGGCTGAGAAGTTGCTCATGGCCCTGTGGCCAGGACAGCAGAGTGAGGGAGATATAGTAAGTCCCTGAATTATTAAGGACTTCTCTTCTGGGAGAATGTTTATAAGTAGGATTCATTTATAAGTCTAACAAAATGAGTGTTATACACCTTTGACACAAATATATAGTGTAAAGCATAAAAACACAAAATACAGCAAATAAATAATTTTTACTTTTACAGTTATCTTAAAATGGTAAGGGAGACATGTGAGCCAATTCTGTGCTTTGTTCACATCTATAAATGTTCATAATGCAAGTTCTGTTTGTATTTGTGAAAACTGGCAAATCAAATGTTCATAAGTCAAGGATTTACTGTACACCCTTCTAGGCCATACCCCCAGTAACCTGCCTCTTCTGACCAGACCTCACCTCTTAATAGCAAATCAGCTACAAGCCCCGTAATCCAGTAACCTTCCAAAATCCTTGCCTAGGACTATACAAGGCTCTTTGGGGGACATTTAAATATAAACCATAACACAGCTCTTAAGAACTGCTTCTCCATTTTGTCCAGGGGCTTGAGCTAGTGACCTTCCTATATTGTCTCTGAAATCTCTGTTGACACAATTTTCTAGAAATTAAACACATGTCTCTAATACAAGTATAGAGTAAATATGTAAGTCAAGAGGTACATTCTCTAGAAGCAGTTCCTGAAGTGGGGTTTTAAGGCAAGTAATTTATTAAGGACTAACAGCTGTGAAAGAAAGGGGACAGATATGAAGCAAGGCATAGGGAAAAGCAGAGCCATAATAGAGAGTACACTAGAGCTATGGCGAACCTATTTGGGCTAGAACTCTGGAGTGTCTTAGCCCATGCTTCTATATCAAGTTGACATAAACTAGTAGGCTTAAAAAGCAAGTATATTTTTCTTTATGTTTTGCAGGATACAAGTCCAATATCAGGGTGGTAGTATAGTTGGGTTCGGGTGAGGTCCTCTTTGATCCCCTAATTTAGGTTACAGACTTTTGACTTCTTGATTCTCACAAGGCCAAAAGAGAGCTAGCTAGCTTTCTGATCACTTCTTCTTCTTCTTCTTTTTTTTTTTTTTTAAATTTCTTTTTTTTTTCAAATCAAATCGGTAGGACAGTTTCAATAATTAACACACTGCATGCATTCTTCTTAGTGGTTAATTGCTGTACAAGATGCGGACTTGATATCCTATTTACAAACACCATTAGAACAAATCATTCTCTTCATTAAGAGAATGTAACTATATATCTATCCTAACCACTTTGAATACACAGATACAAAATGGACATTAATCTGTATCCCCCTTTTTTTTGG